TACAAGTAAAGTCCTGTTTATGATTAAGGGGTTAGTGGATCAGTTCCAAGGTTCAGACGACATTTTTTTAAAATAAAATTTTTTGGACACTACCTTTATTATAAGACAAACTAGAGCGCTCCATTTCCCCATTTAATCTGACCTAGACCATGATTTTTTTTTTTGCAAATTAAAGGAGACTCATGTATCAGTTCCAGGGTCCACAGAGCTGACTTCTTTTTTTCTGGATGCTATGAATTTGAAAAATAAACTACAGCTATATTTAACAGCTCAAGGCTTTAAAAGTGACACAGACAAGAAAACAGGTGGCAAGTTAAAATGTGATACTTGCAATCAATTTTTTTCTGGCAATTTTTAATTACTTGATCTCAGAATATGCATTCTTCAATTAAACTGGCATTTTACTGGTTTTTAACAATATCTTTATGAACAAGTACTTCAATAAAACCTGTCCCAAAAAGCAAAATGATAATTTTTAAAAATTCACCTCAAACAACTTTGAAGTATTCCAACATGAGTTATAGCCCGTGTGAAAATTATTTGTTCATGAGTTACGGTACCTTAATTACTTTAGTTACTTACTTAACCATTAGTATAGTTTTGTGGAAAGTCAACGCCCCCCCCCCCCAACTCTTTCTTACTTAAAGAATTTAACGGACTCAGATTATTTATTTCCTTTCCATAATCATACAAATTGTTAACTAATTATTCATCGTTTCATGGCACAGCAGTAGGCCATCATATTTATGCCATTGTGGGACACTTTGGTTTTGGCAAGAGACCTACATGTACCTCGGCCGAAACAAAATCACGTTGAAGTATCACTACTTCACCCATACACAACAGCAGAGGGATTAAAAATTGTCTTTAAACAATCAATTCCAATACAAAATGGGAATGCAATGCTGAATATCTAGATGAAGTATGCAAAACAAATGAAAAAAAATGAATACATCAAAGCAACTAATAAACCATGATGAAAAAAAAATCAGTCACAGAAAGACGTCATAGCTAATGTTTCTTTAGTTTGAGTGAAGAGGGATACATTGATGATATAACAGTTATTTAGCGCAAGAAAAAAGCAAGACAGATTGGCAAAAAAACAACAGAAGGAAAAAAAAGAAGCTGGATCTACCAAAAGCGCCCTCCAACCACCCACATAAAAACAAAAGAACAGTCTTCAAAATTAGGAGGTCATAAGAACGCCTGATGATGAAAGGAGGGAAAATGGGAAAAGAAAGGCAGCTTGACAAAGATGGCATACTGCTCTCAGAGGAGATTTGATAAGAAAGTGCAGGATTTCTTTTTTCTCTTCTTCCACATTCCCAATTAGAGAACTAAAAAAAACTTAAACTGTCCTGTGTTCTACATCCCCATTCACACAATTTAAACGTGAGGCATCGTGGTGAAATTAGGCGCTTGTCAAAATAACGAAATCGGAGGCATGTTTCTGCCAGTTACGCAATTTTCATCAAAATTTGGGGGTTTTTTTGCTCAACCCCCCCCAATCCCTTTTTTTTGTCCACATGAAAACATACTTCCATGTGAATTTTACCGACAAACTTAGATTAAAGGTACAAAATATGTCATTTTTCTGTTTTCAAGGACTCTTCAGCCATTGGAGTTACCAAACTTTGGCAGCCATTTTCTCCCTAATAATATTTCACCAAGCGACCTTACCACTTTCAAACAAAAAGATCTTGACTTCTATTCAAGATAGAGTGAGGAAGATAGAGGAAATCATGAGGAAACACAGAATTGGAGTCACAAATGAGAATGGAGAACTATTTGAGTATTTGTGGAAATATGAGCAACAAATGGGATCAAGATAGGAGAACTGTTTTCCCACATATAACAGATACACAAAGCAACATGGGTGTCTCGAGACCAACGAACTGAAAACCAGATTGACAATTATGTGTCAACAAGAAATTCAGGAGATCAGATTGACCATTATGTGTCAACAAGAAATTGAGGAGATCAGATTGACCATTATGTGTCAACAAGAAATTCAGGAGATCAATAAGGAATGTTAGAGTTTACAGGGGTGCAGACGTAGCTTCTGACCATCATCTGCTTATTTCAACAATTCAACTAAAACTAAAGCAAAGACAGGGGATTGTCAATCATAGGTGACGGTACAAAGTGGAATTTCTGAGAGAGCCATCGTCAAGAGAGGAGTTTTATAAAGTAGCAGTTAAGGACAGGTTCCAAGTGTTGGAAACACTAGGCGAAGATAGCAGCGTGGAAGAAACATGGCAGGCAATAAAAGAAGGCTGGACCACTGTGTGTCAAGAGGTACTGGGGAAACGGAAATGTGAGCACAAGCCGTGGATATCTGCCATCACTCTGAGAAAGATAGAGGACAGGAAAAAGAAAAAGGATCAGGTAAACAGGGGCAAGACAAGAGCAGCCAAAGCAAAGGCCCAAGCATAATACACCAAAGCAAAGAAGGATGTGAAAGTCAGAAGACGGAAAGACAAAAGAAAGTATGTGTAGATGACCTGGCGTCGAGGCAGAGGAAGCAGCTGGGGCAGGACACATAAGAGGACTGTATGAAACCCCCAAGAAACTTGCAGGAAGATACAGGAAAGCAGATGTGTCAGTTAAGGATAAAGAGGGACAGCTTCTCACAAATCCAGACGAACAGAAAGAACACTAGAAGGAGCATTAAAAAGAGCTACTGAACAGACCAAAGCCATAAAAACAGTTTGACATTTCACCAGCAAAGATTGATCTTAAGGAGAGTAAAGAAAAGCCCAGATTAGAGGAGATCAAGGAGGCGCTAAGACACCAGAAAGCAGGCAAGGCCCAGATGGAATTGCCCCAGAAGTTCTCAAGGCGGATATCAACACTGCGGCAGAGATTCTTCATGGAATTATTGGCAAGATATGGGGGCTCGAAGAATTTCCACAGGATTGGAGAGAAGGATTGCTTGTGAAAGTACCCAAGAAAAAATACCCGCAGTGTAAAAACTACAGAGGAATCTTGCTCCTGTCCATTCCTGGGAAGATTTTAAGTCGTACCATACTGGAAAGACTGAAGGAAGCCGAGGATGTAAAACTAAGAGAGGAGCAGGCAGGATTTCGTAAAAATAGATCATGTACAGATCAGATTGCAACTTTGAGGATAATAGTGGAGCAGTCCACACAGTGGAACTCTTCCCTGTACGTTAACTTCGTTGACTACGAGAAAGCTTTTGACAGCCTAGATAGGGACTCAATATGGAAGCTCATGAGATTGATCAAGAAGATTATAAAGGAATGAGCTGCAGTGTCTTACTTGGAGGGCAGCGGACAGACTCGTTTGAAGTGAAAACAGGCGTGAGACAGGGATGCCTGCTATCGCCTTTTCTCTTTTTATTAGCAGTGGATTGGATAATGAGACAAACAACATCGGGACAATGCGGTGGCATTCAGTGAACCCTTTCCAGTCAGTTGGAAGACTTGGGCTTTGCCGACGACTTGGCACTTCTTTCTCAGTCGAGCCCAGATGCAACAGAAGACAGATCGCCTCAAGACCATCTCCCACAGTGTTGGACTCCATATTCACACGGATAAAACAAAAGCTCCTCAAATGAATGCAGCCGACGTTCCTATCACACTGTAAGGAGCACCATTGGTGGATGTTGAATCCTTCACCTACCTGGGAAGTGTCATCAACAAAGTAGGGCGGGGAACAGATGAAGACATCAAGGTAAGAATCCAAAAGGCAAAAGCAGCATTCATCATCCTCGGGAACATATGGATGTCTAAGGAACTGGGTGAACACCAAGCTGAGGATCTTCAAAACAAACGTGAAGACTGTCCTACTGTATTGTATAGAGATATGGAGGCTCACAGCATCAGCAGCAAGGAAACTGCAGAGCTTCATAAATGGATGTCTCAGAAGGACAGTGGGGAACAAGTGGTACGATCGATTCCCAAATGCTCAACTGTGAGAAAGAACAAGCCAAAGGCCAGTTTAAAAAGACAGACAGGTGAAGAAATGGAAATGGATTGGGCACACCCTGAGGAGACCCCCCGACAAGCATCATCAGACAGGGTTTGACGTGGAATCCACAAGGAAAACGTAAGAAAGGAAGACCAAAGATGACATAGAGGCGAGCGGTACAAGCGGAAATGGAAAAGGTGGGGACGTCGTGGAAAGAGCTAGAAAAGGATGCACAGGACAGCTTCTCTGGAGAAATATTGTTGATGGCCTATGCTCCACTGGGAGTTAAACGGGGCAAGACAGAGAGATTCAAATGGCTTTTTTTTAAAGAAAGCAAGGCAAATGAAGCTCTCAGATGATACCAACTCCACAAGCCCCAAAATTGATGAGCGCCTGATTTCACAGCCTCGTAACACAAATCAAATCATTCAGGAGGCCGGTAAACCTTCAATCCTGCCTAACAGGGCCAACCCGAGCTAAAACTGAGATGGATGGATTCTAGCACAGAGATCATACTATTACCATTTACATGAAGAAAAAGACATTTTCACGACAATTTAGATGTTACAAGAAGCTTGTTATCATTTACTTATGTATCCTCATAAAATTATAACTCAAAAAGAGGTTGATAAGCCATAAAAGTGCCAAGCACTGAGTTGAGTGGTAGTAAACAGCAAATTGGCACTAACTATTATGTGTACATTTTTACATACAAAACTAAGGTAATACACACAAAAAAGAAAGTAGAGCTGACAATATCAGAGTAGCCACTAATCATTCACCAGGACTTACACTTTTGACAAAGTGGTAATACTAGACTACCAGTGTTGCAGAAGATTTCAGCATGTAATAGTGTCTGTCTGAGAAACAACAAATAGTAAAGCATATACGAGACAGCCTACATTCAAGTAGGAATAATCATTATAAGAGTAAACTATTATCATCATTATCATCTAAAACGGAAAAGAAGGGGAAATTCCCCCCATCCCCTGCAAAAGACAAGATATATATTTTTACAACAAAAATGAACAATGACACCCACCCCCAAAAGTGGCAACTTTTCTTACCTGAGCAAAAAAATGCAGCAGCAAGCATAGCATGGAAAACTGCAGACAAACAGGAAAACTGTACAACAGCCAATAGAGTGGAATATCCAGGTCATTTGCCGTATCACAGTTATCGAAGTAGAATGAAAACAAAGATGTCCGCAGGCCTGACCAAATTAAGCATAAAAACAAAAACAGCGTCTGGTGGCTGAGTCGTTTATGCCTGTAGTACCATATCATCCATAGCTGTCCATAGACCAGAACAAATATCAAGCCAAACACCGTTATGTATCCACATGTCAAGCTGAGTTGCACATTAGATGGGAGCGCTGGTTTTAGAGTGGGCAAGTCATCCCATCCATTGTGCGTCACACCTGAAAGAATGGGCAGCGTGGTGGTTTCCAGGAGTTCAAACCCCTTCGTGGTGAGCACATCTGGAGCTCCGTGTTCCGGGGCTACTGGCAGAGACAGCACCCCTTTGTACAGGGGAACTACATCTCGACCTTGGATGGATGAAACAGTGGATGAAAATGTTACATGATCATCTTTGCCTGGAGAAAAGGTCTCTGTTAAATCTCCATCTGTCAATGTTTCCAGCACATTTCCTTTAGAATCCAGCGAAACCATTATTTGTCATCACTAGCAGTATAAAAACCTTTGGGCAGGTCGATAAATGACTTCACATCACAGGTACTGAACAATGGATTGACATCTGAAAAAAAAAAAAGAGCAGAGAAAAAAGAAGAAAATTAAGTAAGTTTCTGACTAACAAGTCATCAGTATAAAAAATAACGGTGCATGCAAATCAAGACACACTTTATCACATTCTATAGCAGTCTCCTGAATCAGAAATGAACACATTCCCCTGTAAAACTGGGATATACTTTGTGCTTTTTATATGAAAGCTATCACACATCTAATATCCTACTACAACCCCCCCCCAATGAAAATTCAATATGGCAGAAAATCCTGAAATTACTCTGTTTTAACAAGAGGTAAGTGTAGAGTGCAAACTGCAACTCAGTAGCTCCTCTATGCAATTATAAATTACAGTGGTACATTTTCTTGCAATTACACTCAGTGCAAACAGGATCGGTTGTACATAGATCAACATGTTAGCAGTACAATCAATTCATCTAGCATCACTATACTATAAAGCTTTTCAAAACATTGAATGACACAATCTATACAATATCCAAGAAATTTAGAACTACGGTCTTATTATGACTAAGCAAAAAAAAGCAAGATTGTCAAAACAGATAGTAAAGGAAATTGTTGAAAAATATTACTTTTCTATTATAATGTAAACCCTAACTCGCTCTAACCCACATGATGTATATATGACCATCCTATCTTTTCACAAAAAGTAAAAATCACTTCTTGTGATATTATTGGTACAAAATTAATTTATAATAAAGATTCAAATGGATAAACTTTTGTCATCTTAACACTCTGCAGTCACACAGTCAGCAGTACAACCAATCTGGTCACCCAGCCAGGAGAGTGATTGCAACAGACTTCTCGGGCCTGTTGCAGAACTGTGTCAAGAGACCAGATCGTATAATTTTTCACTGTCGCCTAATTATGGAAAGTGACCACAATGTTTAAGGGAGTTTCGGCAACCTCAAATCAATTTGTTGGAGCTCGGTTGGAACCTCATTTACTCGAAGTTTAAAATCTTACAAGAGAGGAAAAAAAACTGACTAACATCGCTAACGTTCATACTTAAGAAATCACTTTCGTCAATGTATTGTGAAGGGTCTCAACCCAAATTCTACTAAGAAATTATGTGCTTTACCTGAGTACATTATTTTGCAATCTGAGTTAGCCACAAAACATCCTTTGTTTAGCGAGGTTCTCAACTGCCTCAAACACTGGTTTTGAACTTCGCTAAGGTGTTAGCAATGGTTAGAACAGTGCTCCAATCTAACCTCCCTATCTTTGGGTTGACTTTAAATGCAAATGTTTAACATGCTCTGGGTCGTTTTATGATGCCCCAATGGTCGGCTAGTGAGCTATTTCGTTTTGCTTCTGTGAAAATGTCTTTTTCCCTCAACACAACAAGTCAAATCGATAAAGTAAGTGACAATGTGGAGAAAGACAGCAAGGGTCACCGACCCACAAGGCTCAAACAGTGGTCTCATGGAACATCGCTATACTGCGTTAGTGAGGGTCAACAGATTGCTTAGGTCCTTTTGTTGGATAGCAAAGTTCACGCAAGATTGAAAGTGCATTTTCTAGCAATTGTAGTATGAATCTGAATTTTTTGTAATATTATAGGCCTACACATTGTATAAAAATAACAAAATATCAGGAATCATTAGGCACAACAACAACAAGAAAAACGATTTTCACGAATAATTTTGGGAGGGCGAGACTCCATCAGAGCACCAATGAATTATACTTTACAACTCCATACAGTACAAAATTTTAATCAAACAATTAATTATCTTGCAAAAAAAAAAGATAGATCTAAATCTAGATCAGATAGATCTACTCATGTTGCTCTGGAAGAGACCTCCAATGTTTGTAAAAGGCACGCCTGTAAGTATGGATCAAACGATGTTACTCATTTTATTTTCTGCAGCAGTGACGAAGTATAATAAAGAAAGACAGGGCACTCCTTGAGGATGAATTCTGAATGTCAGTATGTGTATTGTCTTTTACAACATAACACCCTCCAAACACAGACTGCTTAAGGCTGAAGGATCAGAACGTACCACAAACACGGCCAGTCTTTCAGTTCAGAGCTAACACTTTATAAATACAGTTATGACTCTAGTGAAGTTGTAAAAATAACAAGTTACAGATAGATCTAGATCTATACCTTTATTTTATCTATCTTAATTTAAGTCAAATCACAACACATCATTGAGAATGATAATATTGCTAGATCTAGATCTAACCTGCTATGAAACATACTAAATCTAAACAAAACATTATATAGATCTAGTTAGTACTTTAGTTAGTTTTAGTTTTGAAGTACGGCTGTGGTCAGGCTAGTCGCCTATCAGCCGTTCGTTGCTTTAATTGCTTGTTCCTTCCTGCTCGTTGTTTTCACACTCTGTTATCTGTAGGTTAGTGCTCATGGATCTGGCAGTTTGAAACCAATCTAGGTTCATGGAGAATTTATGTGCCTTCCAGACACCACATTTTCCAGCCTAAAATTTTAGGCTGTGTCATGTTAGAGAGTAGATTCCGCGGTAAAATGTCTCCCGGTAAAATGTCTCCCGTTACGTTGTAAATTCCTTTTAAATACTTGTAGCATTCAATCATGTCCCCTCTAGCTCTCCGATAGTACAGCGATGGCAGATCCAATTTTCTGAGACGATTGCAGTAGGCAAGGTGCTGTAGTTAAGGAATTAGTTTGGTGGCCCGACGTTGCACTTTTTCAAGTTGTTCTTCATCACCTTTAAGTCTAACGAGCGTCAATTCAATAACAACCACAACAGCCTATTAGATCTGATCTATAAGGGATCAAAGACAAATCTGAACACCTTACTGCTACAGTACTGTAACAGCTAAGAAACTGGAAATTAACCGGGCTCAAATATTACATTAACCACATAGGTCCATTACAGTACGAAGTTAATTATAATGCGGAGCAAACCCACACTGTTGAGACGGTTTTGTTGTGCAGTCTTTTCTATTCAACTGAACAAAAATAAGTTAATCACTAGAATCTAGGTTTAGATCTCCTAGATCTAGAATCTAGATATATAGATATAGATCTATATAGATCTAGAATCTAGATCTAGAGAATATAGACTTGGATTTAATCCTCTCCCCGTGCAGAGAGTACGGCACATGCAATACATAATATGCAACTTTTAAAATTATCTAGATCTAGATCTAGATTTAGATCTAGATTTTCTAGATCTAGACTAGATCTAGTGTCAGGGACCAGGATCAAGCAAAACTAACAACTCGCCTCTGTGTCTGTGACTTGGTCCAATTCCTTGATGAGCTCCCTCCCGTCAGCTGGTGGAGCTTGGAGTTGGAGGTGGAGGTAAGTGACATATAACACGGAAATAGATCTATTGTAAACTTTACTGACCCCTGACCTTTGCGATCGTAGGGTAAAGGTTAAACAGGGTAAACAGGTGAAACTAGAAGAAGGATTGTAAAATATTTATTAGTGTAAAAAGTCAATGTAAATATTGTTATCTTTTTATTAAGCTATGCAGGGTTTTATTTTGCTACAAAATGCTTTAGTAAGTTTTCAACCAAAATAATATTCTCTTCATTGACATCTGAGCTTCAACATGTCAGCCCCCATCTTGAGGTTGACCCGATAGACGATAGCAAAGAGTCTACAAATAGCAACTAAGTTGAGCAGTTCAGCATTGAGTCTCAGATTGTATACTACACATGGTAACATATAAAGCATTTGTCCCTGTCTGTTCATATTTTGCTCCCTGGAGACGTAATTTTTCTCTGCTCTGTCTGAAATTGGATTACTGTTTTTAGTTGATAAATTCTTTCTTCCTCCAAGTCCAAGTCTCTAGACTCCAGACTACTCTAGAGATCTAGAATCTAGAGATCTATCTACTTTACTTTTAGTTTTAGCACTTTTACTTTTACTTTAGCTTAGCTTAGAAATAATTTTACATTTAATTTTTACTCTAGATATAGATCTAGATCTAGATTTATATATAGATCTATGTATAGACTCATAGATCTAGATCTAGGCCTACTGTATAGAACGGAGTCGTAGTGATGGAGTGTCTGGACGTACACGATAACCGTGCACCTTGTTGTCTCAGTATCTACGTACACGGTAACCGGGCACCTAGTCTCACCTAGTATATCTAGTCTCAGTATCTACGTACATGGTAACCGGCCCCTAGTCTCAGCATCTACGTACACGGTAACCGGAATGAAAATAAATTCAATATTTGTCCTGTGCTGTCACTTGCTGAAAAAAAAAGAGTCATACAAGCGTCTTGTTGGCTTCGCCATCGTGACCAGTACCAGTCAGTGTGCATCACATTGTGTGATTGTGAGTACCAGTTGGGGTCACCAAAGTTCATTGAAAGTCTGTGCACTGCGAAGTATAGGGCTCCGGAATGGGGGGTGATTATTGATTTTTTTTAAAGGTACAGTCGGGGGAGGGGTGGGGATGAAGGCAACACCTGATGACAAAAACTGAACTTTGAGTTCTGAACTGCCTGCCGGTTACCGTGTACGTGACACTGAGACTACATGCCCAGTTGCCGGTTACCGTGTACGTAGATATTGAGGCTACATGCCCGGTTAGCGACACTGAGACCACATGCCCTGTTGCCGGTTACCGTGTACGTAGACACTGAGGCTAGGTGCTCGGTTACCGTGTACGTGACACTGAGACTAGATCTGCATGCCCGGTTGCCGGTTACATGGCACGTAGTTTGGGGCTACATGCCCGGTTACCGTGTACGTGACACTGAGCCTACGTTCCCGGTTGCCGGTTACCGTGTACGTAGACACTGAGGCTAGGTGCCCGGTTACCATGTACGTTGACACTCCATATAAATAATGTGGTGCTTGGGAGCAAGGAACCTCAGAGATCTTAGCAAATCCACCAAGGGGAGAATCCGTGGTGATCAGTTATTTTCAGGCACACCATCGGTAAAAGTTAAACGGTCGGCATTTTTTTCGGTAGTTCCCACGCCCCAATTATTATTCGCTGGTGTTGGCCCCAAAAGTAGGGGGGTTTCAGGGGGGCTTGCCCTCCTGACCTAATAAAAATATAATGGGGGGGTTTCAGGGGGGAGGGAGGGCATGCCCCCTTGAAGTTTACCATAATTTGATATTTTGCAGTTGTTAGGTTTGATATCTCTTGCTCGCCACGCATTAAACTTATAGATCTAGATCTAGGCCCAAATAAGAAGGGTTGGGAACTACCGAAAAAGCGCCAAAGGGTCTACCTGTACAGTGAAGTTTACTCTGAAACTCAGAAATGAACTAGGATAGCCTTGTGATGGATGACTTGGCAAGCAAAGAGTGGTCAACCTGACAATCATCACAATAGCATGAGGCATGCCATTTTTACTTTTATCCAATTGTGTCTCAAGATCTATACCAACCTCATGGCTCCCCTTTACTTGTCCAAAATGTATAGCTTTCCATCTCTCATGCATTCTCTAACTGAGTTACCCTGCTCATGTTGTAACCTACCTTAGTGTTGTTAAATTCAGTATGTCATTATTAGCAAATTCGGGGGAAGAAACAACTGTTGGAATGGTCAGGGAAACAAAAGCACAGAAGAGTTCACCGCTCAGTATAATCCTGTTTGATTGCGGACATGTAGCCCTACCCACCCAGCTTGTGGTGAAAGTTCAGGTGGATAGGTGAGATGCCAGTACAAATACGACAACGAGTTGACACCTCAGTGTGATTCCCTCAGGCGCAAACATTGTACCATTTCATCAAGATTTGCTGTGGAGATTCAATCACAGTCACTAGTGTGGCTGCTCTGTGATGCAACAGGTAGCTCACTGATCGCAAATTTTTACTGCTTGGTTGATCAGCTGTGCCTGCCCAGGTTTTTGTTTCTGTAAATTATTACCTGAAATGTGGGATCTTAGCCAAATCTGTCCTTCAGAGAGGAATCTTAGGGGTGTATTTTGTGTAGTAAATATTGTTTTCTTAAAGCAGTGGGATCTTAAGCAAACCAGGATGGTGAGCGGTGGGATTATAGATGGTGACTTCTGTTTTTGAGCAATTGCCAATTAAGATGGGGACCTCATGAAGGTCATGAAAGAGGCCATGAAGTAAATCTGATGAATTCTCATGAATCTTTGTCCATACATGCACATCCAAACTGTGCATGGTCATCAAATGCCAGAACAAGTTCAAGTAGTCAAACAGTGTCTTGAAAAGTTTGGAGTTCATGGAGACCTCTGATATCCACAGCAGGTTCATGGGGGATAGAGTTGGGAAATTATTAGATTAAAGGTCAACTTGTATGTCAACATTGTGAACTGGTTCCTCCACAGATACTCCGTAAAAGATGAGGAATCTGCAGGTTGGACTGCTAAATCGTTTAAAGGTCATACCCATTTTGCCTTGTTCAAAATGGACTCTTCGATTCAAAGGCTCAGTCTCAAAACCAGAGAAAAGCAAGCGCTACGCAAATACACTGAATCTCCCACAAACTTTGTTTCCACTTTCAATGAAGCATGGAGCAGCGGCTCAGAGAGAGCTAGAGATACAGAAGGTACAAAAGTCTGTCTGGAAATGTCTCACTTCTATTCTGTTGTAGGCAACAGTGATTGTATTTGTTATGAGTTGGTATTGGATTATAAACATATAAACTATGTTTTTAGTCATTTATATTTTTTAAACTTTGTCGCTCCTCGGGATATAGTTTATCTTTATGTGAAACTCAGTTTTCATTATCTTAGAACTTATACTCTATTTTTGCATGAATTGAAGTGCTCACGAACACATACTCACACTCGCACACACTTACACATTAACACATGCTCAGGAAAGCACTCTTTCACAAATGTACACACATGTATGCACACACACAGACACACACAATCAGTCTGACACACACAGACACACTCACACTCAGTCACACACACACACACACACACTGAAACCCACACCCACACATACGCCCACCCACCCTTACACCCACACACATGCACACATACACACTCACGCGCACACTCACACAAACACACACATAGACACACACACACACACACACACACACACACACACACAGTATTCATGATATCAGGACAAGACAGTGAATGACTATTGGTGGTTCAACATCTTTCTTTTTTTAATACAAATATCACACATTTTTTACCCTATTTTTCCAATCTGTACTGCACTGTATGACAATAAATAATGATATAGAAATATAGTCATATGTTCTTGCTTGTGAGGTGAACATTGATAACCTTGAAATCTTATTTTTAGATTCATATTTAAAATATGATATGGGAATTACGTGTCCTGTGCTTAGAACTAATTTGCTCTACTTTGCATCCTGTCAATAGACCAAGGAATTCCAGAATCTCTACTATTGGCAGAGACAACAGAACTGGACAGAAGAATTTGTCCTCCATGACGGACCCCCATATGCCAACGGAAAGACTCATGTTGGACACACCGTGAACAAGGTTTACAAGTTTGCCCTTCTGTCTAGATTCTTTTGAAATATATTTTGAGGTGAGGGAAAAAGGAATAGATGTATTGTATCGCATGGGAAAAATCTATCAACTGTGGAGAAGCAATTGATAATACATCGAAAATCAACGTACAGTCGAAATTGTCCATGACAACCATTCTTTTTCTGGGAGAAAAGTGGTCTTAGACAGGTGGGTGTCGTGGACAGTGTCATTATACAGACTTCAACATAAGATAAGGACCACTTGCAAACACTCTGAGAGGTCTTCTTGGGTCGACCTGCACGTGGGTATTCTTGGACTGATCCAGTGGCATGATGGCGCTGTCTCAAGCGGACAATTACAGAGTGGGACACTGCAAGCCTCCTGGTACCTTCTCTGACTCCAACTCGATCCTGCAGCCATGCCATAGCCCTGGCACGATCAAAGTCTCTCAGCTTTGGTCTCAGTGGCATATTGATGTGATACTGGATTTTGCGCAAACGGCGGCTTATATTGCCACCAAAGTGAGCACAGTCCGTTTATGATGTGCACCCGAAGTTTTAACTAAGAAATGTCCGTAGTGTTTCACACAAGTTAATAAAAAAACAAATTTGCTTAAAATTCCCGAGGATTTTCGTGCTGCACTTAGTGGTTTTGCCCCTTTAGGAAGCTTTTCAGTACACATTGGTAACCCATTAACACTTTCAGAGCAAAAACAAATTTAAACATTCCTTGCTGTCTTTTTTTTCTGATTTTTTAAATATCAGGACTATCTGTCAAGGTGGTCCTTAACTTATGTTGAAGTCTGTAGTATTAAAACACACAAGGGAGGAAACAAGAAATGGTTGTTTGTACAGGTGATTGTCATGGACAGGTGGTCATTAAAACAGATTTGACTGTATTTGAAAGTCTAAAATAGCATTCATATTTAAGTCTTCTGCGTGTTCAATGGTAGGTGAGGTTTTTTTAATTAGAGCAGGACAACAACGAGGTACTATTTCAAATTAATAAGTGAATATAAATTTCTGGATGAAGATGGCTGTAACGCCCTATATTGGGCAAGGTTATTTCACACATATTTGACAAGTGTATTATCACAAATTTATGTTTGTGTGTGTATATATATATATTGTGTGTGCATGAAAACACACATATCCCTAGGTTGATATTATGCTGGACAACAGAGCGGATGGCTCTGGTTCAAATCTTTGACAGGGCATTTTGAACTTGTATTGGTTTGGGGAGTTTTGAAGGCTCTCCACCCATTTTGCTCAGTCCTAGTGGACATGAACATTTAATTTTTAGCTCCTGCCTCTATGAAAAAATCTCACAGGGCTGAAAGGGAAGTTAAACCTGATATATATTTTATATAGATAGATAAATAAATACCAGAGGTATGATTTTCCAAAAGTCTCCAGCACTTTCATGTACTTGCATAAACATATAAAGTTACTGCACTGAAGTCTTGAACAAAATTTCATTCAGGCAAATAAAAACTATTTCTATTTTCTTTCAGGTGTTGAAAGATATCACCAACAGATACAAAGTGATGAAAAAATGCAAAGTCCACTATGTTCCTGGATGGGATTGCCATGGGATGCCTATTGAGGTCAAGGCCATCACCGATGACATGGGGCAACATCAGAAGCTTTCACCTTTAGAAATAAGGGCGAAAGGTACTCGTCTTCATTCTCATGCAACTATGTATTATACACCCATCTTCTTCTTCTTCTTCTTCTATCCTGTGGTTGGGGCAACCGTTCGGGCACCACTGCATTGGAAAACCAGCTCTCGCCATCTATTTTTGTCCTCTGCTCTCCTCAGATTGTCACCCATCGTCTTTCCTGTCCACTCTGTAATGTTGTCCTCCCATCTCCTTCTCTGCCTTCCTCTCTTTCTCTTTCCTTGTACGGTTCCTTGCAGGATTGTTTTGGCAAGTCCTGTGGATCTTGTGACTTGCCCATACCATTTTAGTTTTCGTCTCTTTACTGTGGTCAGTAGATCTTCATATTGCCCCACTGCGTTGGTGATTCTCTTTTGTACTTCAGCATTTGAAACGTGGTCTTTGTACGAGATGTCAAGGAGTCTGCGATAACATCTCATCTCCGTGGTCTGAATCTTTTTCTCTAATTCTGCTGTTAGTGTCCATGATTCGCAGGCGTATAAAAATATTGAGATGACCAGTGAGCGCATTAGTCTAATTTTTTAGCTGTGCGTGATGTTTCTGTCCCTCCAACAGGCTTTAGTTTTGACAGCGCAGCTGTTGTTTGTGCGATTCTGGAGAGAATTTCTGGTCTTGAGCCTTCATCTGAGACGATAGATCCGAGGTATTTGAAGCTGTTGACAGTCTGAAGTTTCTCGCCCCTTACTTTGATGTCCGCATTAATGCCATTGGTGTTATTGGTCATTAGCTTGATTTTCTCGGCACTGATCTCCATGCTGTAGGCTGCTGAAGTTGTGTCCAGCCGCTCCACTAGTGTGGCGAGCTCCTGTTCTTCTCCTGCTAATCCATTGATGTCATCGGCAAAAGGCAAGTTAGTGATTGTCCTGCCTCCAATACTGATTGTTCCATTGTGGTCTTCCAGAGTGTCAGCCATGATTCGTTCTAGGAAGATGTTGAAGAGAGTGGGAGAGAACAAACAGCCTTGCCTCACCCCGACCGTTGTGCTGAACCAATCCCCCATGCTGCCGTTAAGGTAGACTGCGCTGGAGGCCTTGTCGTAAAGTTGTTGTATGACGTTGATCAGGTTGGCGTTGATGTTATATTTCCTCATGGTTGCCCATAAGGCTGCATGCCAGACCCTGTCGAAGGCCTTTTTAAAATCCACAAAGATATGGTATAGGTTTTGTTGGTGTTGGAGGTACCTCTCGCACAGTATTCTAAGGTTGAAGATCTGTTCTGTTGTGCTGCGCCCTGCTCTAAAGCCTGCCTGCTCTTCGGCAATGATCTTCTCTGCCTGTGGTTTCAATCTGTTCAGCATTATCTTCAACATAACCTTACTGGGGTGGCTTATTAGACTGATGGTGCGGTAATTCTGACATAGTTGCAGGTTACCTTTCTTGGGGAGTGTAATCACTAGTGATTGTGTCCATGGTGTTGGCCACTCTCCTGTCTGCCAGATCTTGTTGCAGATGACAGTCAGAGCGCTTATCATGTCCTTTCCCCCTGCCTGTATCAATTCTCCTGGAATGTTGTCCACTCCTGCTGATTTCCCCTTCTTCAGTGCTTTAACTGCTGCTTCAACTTCTTCTCGAAGGATTCGGTGGTTATCGATGTTGGTTGCTGGGGGAACGTTTAGAATCTCAGGGTTTCCCGTGGCTTCGTAGTTGTACAATTCTGAGCAGTATTCTGTCCATCTTTTCAAAATGTCTTGTTCCTCTGTCAAGCATTTTCCTTGTTTGTTTTGAATGGTGGTGGTGCGCCCCTCTTTAGTGCGTGTCAGGTCTTTTACTAATTGATATGCTTTTTTGCTGTTGTTTTTCCTCAGGCTGCTTTCGATTATTTAGCATTGTTCCTCGATCCAATTTTCTTTTGCCTTTTTCATACTTGTTTTAATTTTTTTGGCTGACTGCTCTGTACTCCTTTGCACCATCTGGTTGCTTCTTTTTCTCCTTTAATTTTCTCCTTTTGTCACACAGGTTAAGGATGTCAGTTGTGACCCCGGGCTTATTGACTCGTCGGTGTTTTCCGAGGATCTGACTGGCTGTTTCAGTCACTGCTGTATTGAAGGTGTTGATCCACGTGTCCGTGTCTGTGTCATTGTTGTTACCAGCATCAATGACAGTGAGTGGTGCAAACTTTCCTCCTATCATGGCTTGGAAGCTTCTGCTACTTCTGGGTCCTTTAGTTTTTCGAGATCAAACTTCATCCTTGTGTTTCCTTGCTTTTTTACCCTCTTCAGGTGGAGGCGAAAGGTCATCATCACAATGTCGTGGTCGCTTCCAAAGTCTGCTCCTGGGAATGTTTGTGTTTTTCCAATTTTGACACTGGACTGGAATCACTTTTTCACCATGATGTAGTCCATCTGGTTGTGATGTTCTCCGCTTGGACTGTGCCATGTCCATCTCCGTGATGTAGTCAATCTGTGGACTGTGCCATGTCCATCTCCGTGATGTAGTCAATCTGTGGACTGTGCCATGTCCATCTCCGTGATGTAGTCAATCTGTGGACTGTGCCATGTCCATCTCCGTGATGTAGTCAATCTGTGGACTGTGCCATGTCCATCTCCGTGATGTAGTCAATCTGTGGACTGTGCCATGTCCATCTCCGTGATGTAGTCAATCTGTGGACTGTGCCATGTCCATCTCCGTGATGTAGTCAATCTGTGGACCGTGCCATGTCCATCTCCGTGATGTAGTCAATCTGTGGACTGTGCCATGTCCATCTCCGTGATGTAGTCAATCTGTGGACGGTGCCATGTCCATCTCCGTGATGTAGTCAATCTGTGGACTGTGCCATGTCCATCTCCGTGATGTAGTCAATCTGTGGACTGTGCCATGTCCATCTCCGTGATGTAGTCCATCTGTGGACTGTGCCATGTCCATCTCCGTGATGTAGTCAATCTGTGGACGGTGCCATGTCCATCTCCGTGATGTAGTCAATCTGTGGACTGTGCCATGTCCATCTCCGTGATGTAGTCAATCTGTGGACTGTGCCATGTCCATCTCCGTGATGTAGTCCATCTGTGGACTGTGCCATGTCCATCTCCGTGATGTAGTCCATCTGTGGACTGTGCCATGTCCATCTCCGTGATGTAGTCCATCTGTGGACTGTGCCATGTCCATCTCCGTGATGTAGTCCATCTGTGGACTGTGCCATGTCCATCTCCGTGATGCTTTGTGTTGACCTAACGTGTTTGTCAGCACTAGGTTGTTATAGCTGGCAAATTCCAGGAGCCTTAGACCTCTTTCATTTGACTCTGAGTTGCAGTGTTGTCCACATGTTCTTTTCCAGTTCTTGTATGCAGGGGTCTGGTCTATCACTTCTTGTATCTGGTCGTAGAAGCCCTCCACATGGGACTGCCCTAAGGCGGATGGTAATAAGCCGCCTAGAAATAGGGCGGCAGCCCATGACCGTATTCACAATGTCTTTGTGAATAAAAAATCCAACGCCATTCGTATGCTTGTCCTCTTCTCCACTGAAGTACAACTTGTGACCTTCTTGTGTCGTGATCTCCCCGAATTTCTTCCACTGTACTTCGCAAAGTCCTAGTACGGCCCATTGATATCTATTCATCTCGTACGTAAGCTCTTCTATGATGGACCTGAAATGCACCTGTAACCTATATTTTTTAACAGGGGTCATGGGAGTAATAAGATAGCCTTTCCTTTCTCATAAGGATCCTTGCAGAAGGTTTTATTTCTTTCGCCATTCAGTTGCTGGTGTGCTCTGTGTTTGACTTCAAACATCAGGTTCCCAAGACTGGAACCTATTGTCTTTGATAACATCAAAGTACAATGCATATGGAAAAAATGCGAACCTTCTTTTTACATGATGAATGGGGATTATTTTTTCGCTATTTAGTACTCACAGTTTTTTCAGATTGATTATGGCTTTGATATGTTCAGGCTCAGGAAAACATGAAAAAGAGTTCTACGTGGAGTGTTTTTTCTATGTTCGTTTTTAATTTGAAATTTAAATTAAAGAACTGATCTAAATTGTGTCATGAGGGTATTAAAAACTGTAATTTAAAAAAGAAATCAAGAAATTGTGCCCTTGTCTGAGAATCTCTTATTAAGGACCTGTTGATGGGATAAGTCATTTCATTTTTTAAAAGCTTTTGAAACATCTGGTGGCTGAGCACACATGACTTTCTCACAAGATGACCATGATCCCTGCTATTCTAAACCATGTTTAAGTAGTTATAATGAGAACAAACCGTCAAATATCTTCCTTGCAGCTGTCAGATCAAATTTGGTACATTTTCACTTGACCCTTTGGACCTGTTTGCATATTGAACACCCCTCAGGGAGCTATATTACTAATCTAGGAGTGGACCTAATCAAGCTCTTTTGCACAGGTTTGGTAGTTTCAAGGAATTCAGTTTTAAAAGGTCGAACATTTTTTTCTTGAAACATTCACAGCCAAGAAATTTGCAGAGGGAGTGATCCGAGAACAGAGGAAATCTTTCATGCGATGGGGCATCATGGCAGACTGGAGTAAGTCCTACCTGACCATGAATCCTCAGTACCAAGAAAAACAGCTGGAAGTTTTCTACAAAATCTATCAGAAGGTAAGGCTTAATTTACTTGTGTGTAGTAGTCTCTGTATCATTTTGTTTCACTTAATGAATGTTTAAATTCCTTTGTTTGAAATTACTTTTAAAACAGAAGCCTTTTCTTTTTCTTTTTCATTGATTGTAGATCCTTTATTCCCAATTGATAAAATTTGATCTTTTCGTTGGTGGGCTACTTTGTACCAGTCTATCAGGGCCAACCCAGACAGAAAGGGATTATGTATCTCAGGAAATAAACTGAGTGACTCGATAATTTTATGATTTCCCCTCTTGGGAATTGAATTCATGTCTTTGAGTGCAGCAAGGAAAAGCCTTGTCATTACACCACAGATGCTTGTAGCTTTTGGTTTTAAAAAATTCTCTTAAAGAAGTCAGATCACCATGCATGTCATTTCCTTAGCAACACCACTTTGTTAGTGATTGTCATAAACAACAAAAAATTATAATCATATAGATCGTGTCAGTGTATATGAGTTTCTTACAAAAATTAGAGAATTTTGTTATTGACAAGTTCAAAAGCATGTTACTGTCTTTGAATTATTTTCTGGGACAGATTGATGCTGTTGGAGGAATCACAGTTCTTTCTGTTCAAGGTTTATTCAAGCTATCTGTTGAATTTGTTCTTCTTATTTGAAGTGTAAATGTAACTTGACAAATAATTTTTTGTCTTGTCTGTGTAGGGCTTTGTGTACAGAAATTACATGCCAGTCTTCTGGTCTCCATCTTCAGGGTGAGTTTGTGTAATGATGTGTCACTTGTTCTGTTTGCTTAACAAAGTGCTGTTTTTGTTGCTTTTACAGAAGGAGGACGGTTGATTGATTGTGAATGTTTTGTGCCCTTATCTACACAATTTAGATTGTTTAAGAGGCAGGCAGCTTCGACCCTGACTGACAGGGCCGAACCAGGCTGAGTTGGATACAGCATTTCAGGAGACACTTGACAAAGTAATTTTCCCTGTTCAACCAAAACAAGCACACCATTAAATGATCATTTTTATTTTGATGTGCTTCTCTTTTCTTTAACCTTACGGGCTGCCCACTAGCTCAGTTGATATCATAGTGCTTGAACACAGAGTGGATGACCCTGGTTTGAATCTCAGCGGGGCATTCTTGAATTCTGGTTGTGTTAAGGGAGTTTTCAAGGCTGTCCATGTAGTTGGCTTTGTTGTATTGAAGACAGACTTTAAATTTGGAAGTTTTTCCCATAAATACCTTGTAGTGTTAAAAAGGGCATTAAACCCAAACACCCATACAATTACCAGTTGTTAGAGCATGATCTTTTTTTTTTCTTTTCCCAGGACAGCTCTAGCTGAAGCTGAGCTGGAGTACAACCCAGAGCATGTGAGCAAATCTGTGTACCTGACATTTCCACTGCTCACCCAGCCAAAGGTAGAACAGCTAGACAAAGGTAACACACTTGGCTAGGTGGTCGGGTGCCCTAGCATTGCTGTGTGATATTCTGTCTGTCTATTTTTCTTTCTACCTTTCTTTCAGTCTTTAGAGCTCTCTTGCTATTGTTGTCTGTCTGCCTGCCTGCCTTCCTGCCTGCCTGCCTGTCTGTCTGTCTGTCTGTCTGTCTGTCTGTCTATCATGAGTTAGCACAGTTAGGCTCTCTTTTTTCTCCATGCTTTTGAAATTTTCCAACACCAGCTGTTAGCGATAACTTTAGTTGAATAACAAGCTTCAGTTCCAATTTCAGGGATGAAATAAGTTTTGTGACTGACTTCTTACAGCACCACATTAATTAAATGCACAAAATCTTTAGTCGGACGGTTGGTGATTTAAAAAAAAATTTTCATAAAAATAAAAAAAATCGATTTTTTTTATTTAAATCATGATTTTTTAAATTTAAATCAGATTTTTTTT